CTGCCACGTGGCGAGCAAGCGTTGGTCAGCACTTGACGGCGGCCACCGTTAGGCGATAACGTTGCCGACGGCCTGTACGGACACTGTCGGGATAGGGCATATGCCGACGGCCTTTCTGTGCCGACGACATTCCTGGCTACGCCGACGAATATGTTGCCGACGGCCCTATGCCGACGGGGGCCGTCGGCATAGGCCTGTCCCGACGGCCATTCAGGGCTATGCCGATGGCCGTCGGCATAGGGTGCGATTCCGGTAGTGAACAACATCAGTGAGAAGATAATCTGAACTGAGCCACATCAGATAGCACCAACTTTTATAACCAGCAAGCTACGTGTTCGAGATGTCCATTTTTGATCTAGATATAACATAAGTTCGTAGGGCCTAGCTCTATACACATCAAGTTCTGGAAGCTCACAGAATACACGACTGACAATATATGACACCAGACATCCCTAGATTTCAATCCAGTCAACCCTTTAGCTGAACCAGCTATTCGCACACCAGTGCGTTGCTCCTGAATATGAGTCTCCACACGGCCATTCTCCTTAAATTCCTCTTCACTCAAAAAATTCCATATCACTAACATGCTCATAATCTAATCTGCCCCATGCAATTTGTCACACCCAGAAATATGACAAACAGCAGCACGCTCCAGTACACGATGCTCAGATAGTTCATAAGAGGACTGCACTGAGAAGATAATGCAGCAGACTAGCGCATATGGCTCAAGTTGCATTGACTAAAGAAAAATAATGCTCGAACTTTCCGTGCCCGGGGCACCCATTCTCTGCATGCTCTGAAATAGATGTGCATCCATAGTCGCAAGATAGGAATACCGTAGTGCAAGAGCAGTAATAATAGAACATTCACATAGTATGAAAAGCCACTGTTTACCTTCATGTAATGGCTTCTTAGTGAACAAAAATCTTCATTGTGTTGTCTGAAAGATCACAAGCACCATAATTGACCTCAGAGGATCCTTATGCAATTTTCAAGGTGTAAGCTGATTGTAGTACAAGCGCTTCTTTTGAACCTTTTGACACAAAATGTTCCAGTGCATTGACATAGGCATATTATGAATAGTCCCTTGTATAGCTATTCCCCAATCACTCAGCCTAGTAAGAACCAAGAAGATAAGTCGCCCAAAAGTACATGGTTGGTGCTCCACTAAAGCAATAGGAAAAACATACCTGCCGAACACCTCTCCTGCAATGCCAAATTCCTTGCAATGTATAGCAAGCTTAGCGCAATCTCATTGAACATAATTTCTGCTAGGAGGTCGTTAATACACCGCAGAATGATCAACAAGATATCAGAGCACTCAATTCCCTTAGAACCTTTTTGACCTAGCCGTTTATCAACATGTGTTCTTCCATCCGGTGAACACAAAGACTGCAATTGGGCATTTTGCAAACAACTGAAGTGCTCCTCCATGGGAATCAGGTCACAACAATGGACAACCATCAGAGAGGTAATAGGATTAACCTGAGGACGAAACTCATAAGAGGGTTGAACAGAAGAGATAACTGACTGCCACCTCGAAGCACTAAAATTTAGACCATTCATAGAATGCGTTACGGGTTGGCTCGGAATAAGAATATCTATTGGTGCTGTACGGATCCTGCAAACAACCTTCAGAAAAATAATGAGTTTCACATGCTGTACCCTTGGCAAATACCCAGAGAATGTTGGCAAACAACCTATAGGTGGTTTGGCTGCTTCTTCCTCCTCATCGTCATCTTTTCCCTTTGCCTGCCTCTGTTGCTTGATGATGGAGTCCAGGACGATGGGTTTGATGGAGTTGGGCAAGTTCCCCATCGGCATGCGGGTCCTCGTCGTCGATGATGACCCCCTATGCCTCAAGGTTCTGGAGGTCCTACTACATCGCTGCTGGTATCATGGTCAGTGCATGCTTGCATTTCATTCCTTGTAATTTATAGTAAGAAACTTCATTCTGTTGTTAGTCACATTACCTGAAACCATTCAATTCTAGTTTCACTTACCAGTCATTGGATGTTACTTACTACTCCCTCCGTCTCAAAATAAGTGTCTCAAGTCTGGTACAACTTTTAGTAAAACTAGTACAAATTTAAGACACTTATTTTGAGACGGAGGGAGTATATGTTAGTTGTTATGTATCCTGTGCTTTCAAGTTTCAACAATTCTACTTTCGCAAAAAAAGCTTCAACAATTGTAAACTGATATAAGAGCACCTGCTTGCTTGTTGTATCTTATGATATAACAGTAGCAACCACCAACCAAGCTGCTACTGCATCGAGCCTGTTAAGGGAGAACAAGGACATGTTTGATCTGGTGATCAACGATGTCCACATGCCTAACATGTATTGAATTCATGCTCCAGCCTACTCATCCAAAAATCCGAACTGATGGAGAGAGGTAGACAATATATTTCAACATCTCTTCTCATGTATAAACTTATTTAGTCCTTAGACGTGGGTTTATGTAGGCCACATAATATTTCTAAATACTAAATTGGTAGGGTCTTGAACTCAAGACCTCCTGGCTCAGATACCATATTGAATTCATGCTCCAGCAAACTCATCCAAAAGTCTGAACTCATAGAGACAAGCGGACGATATATTTCAACAACATGGACACACTACTAGGGAAAGCCTTATACGTGGAGTCTTATCAGTAGCGCGGG